GAGTTTAATCCAATTTTATGATTATTTTTGTAATGGGGATTCAGAAACACAGTTAAATTTTCACTATCAACTTTAATATGTAGAATTAACATCGTAACGCAATTTATGTCGTCTTGTATTGTATTCTTTCTGTTGAGAAGTCAAATATATATATATATATATATATATATATACACCCACGTATATATATGTGTGTGTGTGTATATATATATATATATATTTGTAAGTAAGTATAGAGAGGACAAAGGAGGAGGGGGAGAAGAGCTCTACGACGTATTTACCAGTAGATTATCCAATTTTATTCTATTTTTTCATGCATATCTTCAAATAAAAGCAAACCCAAGAGTTTTATTTTTATTTTTATTTTTGTAAAAAAGATGTTAACAGCTGAAAGAAAGTTAAAGATGTATTAACTAATTGATTTGTAGTTTTCTCAAAAAAAAAAAATAATAATAATAATTGAAATAAAATTTTGTATAATTTAAAAAATTTACGCTTGATATTTTTAAAAAAAAAATTATAAATTTTTAGCACGTAAAAGATTTCAAACGAAATTTTAAATTCAATAAATTTTTATGAAATTTAAAATTTTCGTTATTTCAAATAATTTAGTTTCAATTTTTAACGCTTTACAAAAAAAATTCAAAATATTAGAACGATGAGAAAAAATGCAACCTAAGAAATCGTCTCCGAGAAAATGTAACAGTGTTATGAAAAAACTGATTTGAAAATATTATTATTGTTAAACTATACAAAATTCTCTAAATTAAATTAGAAGTGATAATCTAAGCAAAAATATAAGTATAAAAGCCAAAAAGAGCATACTATATGTAGATAAAATCTAATTAAATCGGGACTCTAATGCACTCTTCCAATTAAGAGCAACCTTAAAGAAAAGAAGTTGAGCGTAGGACAAAATGGAAGGCCCAAGACTTGGACTATAAAAAGGGCTCGTATCTCTCTTGTTTTTCAGCACTAGAAAGTAGTCCAAGATGTTTCCTCAAACAAACTCCGTAGTCATGTTGCTTCTTCTTCCATTGCTTGTTCTCATCACCCCCTCTCTTGCTAATTACCATTACATCCCATACGAATACAAAAGTTCTATGATCGAGCCTTTAAACCTCGAGTCTAACTTATTAGAAGAGAAATCATATCACGAACCATACTACCCACCCGATTATAAATCTTATAGAGATAAAAAATCATATTATGATTATCCGCCTACCTATTACAAATATCCCAAAGATGACAAACCATATTATGAATATCCACCTACTTATTACAAACCACCTAAAGACGATAAGCCATATTCTGAATACAAACCACCAACTTATTACAAATATCCCAAAGATAAGAAACCATATTATGACTACCCACCTAAAGATGATAAGCCATATTATGAATACAAACCACCAACTTATTACAAAGATCCCAAAGATAAGAAACCATATTCTGACTATCCACCTAAAGATGATAAGTCGTATTA